TTTCACTGTGAATGTCAAAGGTCACAGTGATCCAGCTGCCCAAAAGCATAGTAGTGGAGGAGGAGCAGAGGAGGGGGGCCCAGGTGTCAAGAGCGCTAAGCACCTCCAACCATTACCCTTTATAAACATTAATAATAATTTTTAAAAAATGTAAATGTGTGCTTTGGCCTTTATTTAGTACTTATTCATGTTTTGATTTTTTTTCCCCATTGTTTAATTCACAAGCCAGCCACATAGCCTGCTGCGGTGGCTTGTTATTTATGCAGAAATATGTAAAGTGAATGTACAAAAAAATAATATTATACATGATAAAAGAAAGCAAACAATTAAAATGGCAATGTGAAGGTTTGTTTTTTCCCCCTCTAAACTGTGATTTATTGCCTGAATCAAATATAATGAGAGAGAGGTAGGGCTGAACAATATATCTTAAAGATATTGATATTGCAAAGAATCAATAATGACAAAAATAAAAATACAATACAAAGTTCTCCATATGAAAAGAAATGAGAGTTTTGAAAGTAGATGCAAAAATGGTCGATTTTAATCACAATTTCCATAAGGTGTACTCCTTTAACCCAGTTTGGTCTTGGTATAAGTTTTAATTTTGCTTAACTTATTGCGTCAAAAAATATAAGTACCGGTATTGCTATGATATAGTTTTGCTTTGGCCCCTGCTTCAGTTGAGTTTGAGAGCCCTGTTTTACACTATTTAGCCTGGCACGTCAGTCACATTGAAATAAGTAGTTTTGGTATGGTAGCCCTACCTGACCAGCATTAAGCAAACATCATTATCATCATCATCATCACATATTTAACATCATTATAATAAGTTAAAACATTATTAGTCACATTTAGAAACACATTCTTAACAGGATAGGGAGGGCTCTTCTTCATGACAGATGCTGAGTTTTGGATGAACAACTATTTCCCTCAGGACAATACCTGTGCACCTAAACTAACTATATAGCAACAGTCAGTAAGCAATGATGGCCTCTTCAAATTAAATAAAACAATAATTAACTCCACAAACAACTAAACTAAACTAAGTCTTATTCTGCATACAAACTGCTAACCCTGAATCCTGAACAGATTAATACAACATAAATCACAAACCTAGATACTGTATTTCACAAATTGTGACATTTGAAAAGTCTGACTCACCAGCCCATATGCTGTGCTTCGCTTGTACTCCTGTGTGATGTCGGCCACATAGGCCAAAATGACAGCGAAAGTGACTGTGAATACACCAGACATGGAGAGGACAGCAAAGTACCACCAAGAGGGAAAAGGACATTTAAATTTAAAGATGTAGTAGGTAACCTTTTCTGAAAAAGGGTTGTCAGATGCTTGTCATTCAAGGCAAGGCAAGGCAAGTTTATTTGTATAGCACAATTCGTACACAAAGTAATTCAAAGTGCTTTACAGAATAAGAAATACATTAAAATCATAATAAAAAACAAATGAAAACATAAATAATCATGAAGATTAAAATTAAAAAAGAGAGACATAAATTGGAGAGAAGAGTGCGGAATGAAAACCTTTCAGTTATATGCACAGTTAAACAGAAATGTTTTGAGTCTGGATTTAAACAGCGTCACAGAAGAGTCTGTCTCACATGTTCAGGAAGACTGTTCCAGGTTTTAGCTGCATGAACCTGAAACGCTGACTCCCCTTGTTTAGTTCTGACTCTGGGCACCAGCAGGAGGCCGGTCCCTGAGGTCCTCAGAGTGTGAGATGTTCATATGACACTAACATGTCACAGATGTACTTTGGTGCTCGGCCATGGAGAGACTTTCACTATGAAGAGTTTATTGCTTTCCCTGAAATGTTCTGCAATATGGCATTAAGCTTCTCTATCTTGCATGAAAAATAAACTTTGTACTTGTAAAACTTGCCTCCACCATCTGTTTAGCTTGGGGTGAAATGCTGGCAATCAAACAAGCTGCTAAAGCTAGTGAGAGTGACCTTTGGGAAAATGGCTCCCAGTTTGTCTGTTATTAATGTTCATATCTGGATTTAGGAACTGTAACTTGTCTCCATAACCTCTAGCTTGTCTCCATGGAGATAGTGGCATTGTGGCAGCGAGTAGGCAGTGAAGAGAAAGTTGTGCAAGGCAGTCTTAAAAAGTTATAACATTTATATACAATAATGAGAAACAAATAGAATGTTCTGAAATAGTGTTATGATAGAAAAAGGTACTGATATTCTACACTTATTTTCATCCATAATTTTTCTGTTCTGAAATTGTCTGCAGTTGGTGAGCAGTCAGTCGTGTTTGTTGACCTCCTGTGGCAGAAGACATCATAAACGTTTGCTTAAGGGAGTGGACCATTTGTTTGGCGGTCTTCATCACAGACCTCCTCCTCAGTTGTAGTATTTGAGTGCAGCTTTGCATAATGTTGGTTTTAAGGCTGTAACACAGGTTAGAGGTGAAACGATAGTTATGCCTTGATTCATGCAACAAGATGTGTTCAAAAAAGAGACAAAAGATTTCATACATCTTTGGCATAAAAAAAATAATAAATCTATTATTTACAATGGTAAATATCAATAAATATAACATATCATATTTACATATATTTTAGGTTTGTTATAAAAAACAACCACCAAAAACAAAAAACAAAAACTTTAAATCAGCCTTGTCCAAGACCAAAAAAAAAAGATAAGACAAAAAGAAGGCAAAAAAACATACAACTTTCTCTCGACACTTACCAGAGGTTGATCTTCACGAGTGGGATGGGTGCACAGGTGAAAAACACCGTTAGCAGCACAAAAGACTTTCGGCCCTAAACGTCAGACAGCTCCCCGATGAGAGGAGCGCTGAGGAACGAGAGCATGCCCTACACAAACAAACCATTCAACTGACCAGGTGTAACAGGCCACTGCAAAATCAAAGAAAAATCAAAACTCCAGTTTGTAAAACATTTAAAACTAAGTTAAATTGTATATGAGTAGTTTATTGTGTTATTCTGACCAAATTCCACTAAAATTTAAGGATTCTTCTTTTGTCATCAAACGCAATGACATCCGGACCAAGACAAAAATCAAAACTTTAAAATATAAATAATAATTGTAAAATATAAAGTTGACTACTTTGTGGATTTCACCTATCGCAGGAGTTATGTTCTAAAACTGAGCCGCGATAGGTGAAATCCGCAAAGTAGTAAACGAGGGACCACTGTAGTTCACTAATGCTAGTTGTTTTTAGCCTTTATGTTTTCATCTTTTTTACCTTGATAGTTGTGTAAAACAAAATAATTTTCAAATGTCTACAATATTAAATAAAGATGTGTAACTTTTTATACCACATTGTCATTGTCCTTTTTTGTGCCAAAATGAATTGTGTGAGTAATTAATAAAGCGTTTTTTGCAGTATTCGTTGAATATATTCGGTTGCTGAATATTTGGTGCATCCCTAGTTGTTTGCCTTTAAGTTTTTGTCTTTCTTACCTTGATAGTTGTGGATAAATTCTTCATGGACAGAATATGTCCTTTGTGGATCTTGTTGGTTGAAGATTTGGTGATGGGGCAGATTTATGAAGCTGGTGGAAAATATGCGAGACATTTCCACAGATGTTTTGCCATAGAAAAGCATTAACTACAAGTTAAGTTTACCCTACATTGTGATACTGCCATTGTGAAAAAGGTCTATAGGTGAGTTCCGTGATTTATAACTCTGTTCAAGCCTTTTCTGACTGCTCTACTCTCCTGCCTGTTAGCTCAGCTTCTCTCCACCCTATGTATCCCTGTACCAGCAATAGAGTCTGGAAATTCAAGATAAGCAGACCCCCGATGGACATATAGGAAGTTAGGTAGTGCACATGTAACTTAGTAGTAATGGCTGGAATAGTCCAATCAGCTTCATTTGGTCTTCTGATAATTTATGTTATTAGGTACTTTTTTCAGAGCAAGGGCTTGGCGAAACACGAACAACAAAACACAAAGCAAAACAGGAACAACTCAAATCGGCCATTTCTAACCACTGTCAAAAAGAGAACCACATTACCCACTGGGACTGAGCAAACATCACTGGAACAGAGGAAAACAAACATCGTCAAAACATCGAAATACGGAAATGTGACCACGGAACAAAACACTGGGACAAGGGGGCTTTTTTATTCTCACACACCTGAGGAGGTCAGACTGCAAATGACGCTGTCATTCTGCCACCACCTGTAGGAAGACAGCACCATAACCTGTATGAATCATCTGACTGCACATGTCACAGCAACATCACGGGACCACTCTGAGGAAGACCGCTAGTGAGCGGTCGAAACGGTCAGGTATGAAAGCGAAACCTCGGTCTGAAAAAAGAACCTAATAACATAATGGTTTTCTTTTAATTCTTATTTTGCAATAGATCAATTCAAATCATGTCTACAAATCAACATTTCAAATCAACATTTACAATGTTGTTTTTACAACAATTTGGCCACCTCTAACACCAGCTATACTGATAATGTTCTAGTATGTGACTGGTGGACTTCTGAGTTGTGTTGTTTTGTGATGCTGTGGTGCACTAAGGTGCCAAGGGGCAGAGTGGGAACTTTTGGAGGCACTCTCCATTTAATGTGGTTCACAATAAAAGAAAATAAGATCAACAACAATAAATTAAAACAACAGAGCAACATCAGAGCTCAGTATGAACTTAAAGGTAAGATATAATTATGGATATAGATAAAGGCTAAATAATAACAAAAGGATACTTTAATCATCAGATTACAATAGATGACTGACCTCTTTCCAATAATTAATTTACAAAGGGAAGAGGCAGCAAAATGTACACCAGGGGCAAGACGAAGGTCACAAGAAGAAACAGAAACACAGAAGGAGAGGCTAGAGGACCAATGTTGCACAGTAAATCAAACACCAGGGATGAACAAAACAAAAGGACAATTTTGTGTATTATATTGTATATACTGTATATATGAATCGGTTCCATAGAGAAAAAAAAATTTAATTTACTTTAATGTAAAAAAAAAAAAAAAACAAGCATAGTGTTAGTAGATTTCCTTCTTACTGTCTTTTTCAGCTCCTTTCAAAAAAGCTCCAATTGCTCCAAGATAACCTTCATGTCTTAAAAAAAAAGGTTGAACTGTATCCTGGAGAAGCAAAGAAATTGACACTATTGTGAAAACAGCAGAAAAACATTAGAAGAAAATAAAGAGGGTGACTTGCCTTAGTGAAGTACTGGATATTATCGGTGATAGTATGCATAGTGACCGGATGTTGTCTAATGAAGAAGCCACCAAAGTAAACTCTGGGTAAGTTGTGGAGCTTGGCATAGAGTCTGGCCAGATGCGCAGTGTTACTGCTGATCATGTGTAGTAAACTCGTGGCAATGTCCTCTTTAGAAAACTCTAAAATCAATGTAAAATCAATATCAATCAAGTGTATATTACATATTACATCAGCATTAAATCCGCAAAGGATGATTGTGGCCCATGTCTCAGCATGCACTATATTCCATTGAGACCCTCCCTCCCTTGTGGTGGCCTTAGGCAATGCCAGTCCACTACCTTGCCAACAGAGCTCCGGCCCCATGCCTTTTGCTCAATTAAGCTCAGACTTGTTCCATTCTATTTTGAGATATCACTGCAAGTTTTTAGATCCTTACGTTTTTTATGTACAAATTCAACAACATTTCACATATTTTTCTCATTTACTTTGACATGTCGATTGCACATGGATGCTTCTCACTGAAATTCACATCACTTATGTGCACTTTTGATCTCTACAGAATTTTTTTTTAAGTTGAATCTTTTTGCAGTTGTGCTGTCAAGGTAATTGCATGGGCCTTTATTGCTTAAAGCTTTAATGATAATACAATTTAGCAGAAAAGCCATGTAAGTCCATTACCTTCATCAGCAGTGGCAGATTTGCCAAAGCAGTTTGCAATGAGATCTCCCCTGAAAGAACCACATGGTCCACCATAGATGTCTTTTACTTGCAAATCTAGATTTGTATGTTGTCCCTTTGAGGCCAGTTGTAGCAATTCATCAAAACTCTGAACGAAGATTGAAGGATAAGGAAATATCAAGATACAGGAGATATTTTCCATTAGGAAGCACAGGAAATTGCCATAGTGTTAAAACAAAAGGAATAAATGTACTCTTAATACCTTTGTTTTTGTTAACAAAGCTCCTAGTCCCCAAAATGTCCGTCCTGATATTGAACTTCCTCCAATACACTCAAATTTGTCTTCTGACTCAACCTTTGGCAACAAAAAAAAAAATGAGCCAGTTAAAGTTACCAACAAGCAATCTGCATTACAAATCTAAATAATTGGAATGCAGTTTTGTTATATTACCTTTACTATGGACCCACCAGTGCCAATGTTGACCAAAAGATAGGGGAAGATATCTGGTTGAATGTTCTGAAACTTGAACTCAGGGTCAGCATGTTTGGAATATACAAAAGCTTCATGGGGTATATTTCTCAAAACAAAGTTACAGCCTTTTGTAAGACAAGTCACCTCATCCTCTATGTCCATTCTGTCACAGTGAGGAAAAAAAATACTACACTATAAATATATACCTTCTGTATTAGGGGTGGCACGGTTCATGAGAAAAACTGAACCGTATGATTTGCTTGTCACGGTTCGATACGGTTTCCACGGTTCCTGGTTTGTGCAATTGTAGCCTCGTGCCCGTATGTGACCTGTTTCACTCTGGCGCAAAAGAAGAGGTGTGGAGGGTGGGTGCTGCGCGTCACGTGTAGAAATGGCAAGTAGGAGAGAAGAGGGCCGCCCGAAGATAGAGGATGCGCCCGTGTTGTTACCTCGTGTGTAACGTACACGTGCAAAACTGACTCTGTGTTTGTAAATGGGAAAGTTGATCAAATTTGACTGGCCACGTTTAGCCATGCAGTGGAGCCAGGTCCTAATGGCCTGGCATGCGTATTTCGCTCTGCACGAGCATAAAAACGGCAACTTTTGGACTTGTAACTTTTAGAATGCATGGAACGTGAATCAGGGCTGTAAAAACCACTTAGGTCCTCACTACTCACTATTTGCTCAGGTCAGAACATGAATCTTTGGTTGTATTTGTGCGTTTACTATCAGTACAATGTGCTCCTGGGGCAGTTCTGTGTCATGTGAAAGAGCCCAGGTCCAGAAAGACGGTTAATTAGTGCTTTGAAATTTACTTTTGAAATCCTCGCTTTTGCCGTGGTCAGCCTGTACAGAAGGTAAATACAAGTCTGTTCAGCTGTTAGTTTCGCTGTAGATCTGATACAAGTGGCTTTCCCATTTACAAACACAGAGTCAGTGCTGTGAGTCTATGTCCTGCTGCAGCTATGGATGGAGCCGCCTTTACGTTGAACGCGTGGCTGTATTTACGTGAGGTTAACATTTTTTCACTGAAGCACAACAGCTGCCTATGTCCAATAATAATGTGCTTAAAGTCAAGTCAAATTCAGTTTGAACATTTACATTATTAACTATGATTTTATAACTTTTTAATGCTGTATCCTAAATTGTGGATAATTAAGTTAACATAGCATATGCTGAAGTATATTTCTGGAGATTAAAGATTAAAAAGAAAAAAATTACAACATGAACCTTACTGAACCGAAAACCGCAACCTTAAGCCGCAATACGAACTGAACCATGAATATTGTGAACCTTGCCACCCCTATTCTGTATATTGAAATACTCACTTGAGTCCCAGTTTCTTTTCAATTAGATCCTTGAATTTGTGTGTCCCTCCACCTGTAACTCTTATAACTTTCATTTCTGGACTGACCAAGTGATCTTTGATCAAGTCCAAGCATGTTTCAAGGTAAGCATTTTCAAACTTGATCAAATGCAGTCTTGTAGTGACATTTTCCTGTACAGCTATTTGATACAGTTTATCACCATGTGCCTGGAATACAAGGAATACAAATATTGATACACAGTCATAAAAGGTAGGTCTCAAGCGGCATTACCTTTGTGGTGTGGTCAGATGAGCATATGTTAACCACATTAAATTGAAAAGTTGAGAAGTATGCAAGCTTTGTTAGGGACCCACCTGAGGAAATTTTTGTTGTTGTGATAAGTTTTGTTACAAAGAGCTATTTTGCATTCTTTAATATATTAATAGTATACTATAAAATAAATGTAATAATTTTGTCTGCAGCATAATTGCATACTAACAATGACATTATACAGATCAGAAAAAAGATATACATATTTAGATACCTATGTCAATGGCAAAGCGCTTTGTGTTATCCAAATTGTGAAAAATCTCAGGTGGAAGAGTAATGCTGTCAACTCCAGTGCATTCAGCCATGGTCAAAAATGGCTTCATGCTGTGTGATTGACGTGCTTTCATTCACAATCATCACCCAGTCACACCCAGGAATGGGCAGGAAGGCGCAGTGTCAAGTTATATTATATTGTGTTATTATGTTAATGTATACCCAACGTTCACTGTTAACCTTCATTACACACATAATTTTACTCAGTGACCACATGCACAACCCGTGAAACTGCACAACAATAGCTTGCCAGTTGCCAGGACAAGAAATTGTGTACTAAATACAAAATTAAACACTGGGTTAATTTACAAAATAAATGCATCATATTTATGGTGGATCATATGTCCCTCGCTACACGTCTGAAGTACAGGTCCGAGGTTTAGATGGACCCGGTAAAGCAGAAGTAAACAGCCAGGCCAAAAATTCAACTTAATGCATCTGATATAAAACTGTATTGAACAGATACATATGTACTCTAGTTTATGAAACTGTTGACCTTTTTTCTGTACCATTTTTGGTTCTAAAGTTACATATGTTTTAAACAGACCATGTATGCAACATGGAGCAAAACTTATTTCCGAAATTTCAAAGACCTGCAAATCATGTAAATAAATGGATGTATTTCATCATATCTTGTGTTATTCCATCTTTGAACTGTTGATGAAGGTACATGATTTAAAAAAAAAAAAAAAGTATTTAAAATGATAAAAATTTGCTTGGAAGGACTGACATATTTTATAGAAATAGTTTCCTTTCATTTTGAAGTAATATTAAAGTATTCGGAAGAAAAAAGCGACAAATTATGCAAAATCCTGCACCTTCTACTTGCTTACACAATTTTCCCTCCGTTACTTTTCCCTCCGTTACCATGACCTTTCTTAATAAAAAATCTCATTACTCAAAAAGTAAGAGGTTTTTCAACCTAATCTTGTACCATATGGTAGAAAACTTTATGAAGCAAATATTCAAACCAGTTTGTTAAGGATATGTAAGTGAGAACCGCTTGTTATCACTGTTTGAATTTATTGCCCAAAAAGTGCTGCATATTTCATTCCCTCCGTTACCGACATGAGTTTTTAAATTTTTTGTCAACACCTTGAAAGAATATCACAGGTTTAACTTTACCCTGTTGGAGTGTAACTCTTTCCTACATTCTGATACTTTACTTATTTCAATAGTCCCTCTAGTTTCTGAATAAGAGCTATTTGAATGTTAAAAATCTGCCCGTTTCCCTCCATTACCGCTTGACCGAACCCAGATATAAAGTTTATTGTGACTCTGCTACTACTGTGAATGTAACAAAATAATAATAATACAGGATACAGAAAAGGAAGGCGAAGGATCGCTAAGGGTAGCAGACCTCTTTAATGCATAGCTAGAACCAAGTACTAGCCCCAGAATTCATGAAGGAAAAGGGCTGAAAAACATTTTGTGCACATGCTGCCCTTTTCTGACTTTGAACCCCTGCCTCTCTATAATCATGTGCACTGATCCCAGTTAACTAAAACCCAGACAGTGGAAGGACACACCGTGGGACTGGATTAGAAAATAAAAAGAATGGTGGGCAACAAGTTGGAAAGTACGAGTGAGTATTGCTGTAGGCCTAAGTCACACAAAACAAATGTTAAAGAGCCAGGAGTTCTGTAACAAGGCAATGAAGGAGTCATGTGATACACTGGGTCCTATTACCCCTGTGGCACTGGATTAAAAGCTGCACTGTGATCTAGAATGGAAGTTTAGATAATTACCAAAGTTTGCAGATTTCTAACAAGGGCAGTCGCTATGAAAGCAATTAAAGACACAGTTAACATTCCTAAAAAACAAAAGCCCTTTCTAATTTCTTATGTAAAAAAACGTCAAAGCTATTCATGCTGAGCCCATAAAGTGCAACAGGATGGGTTACTGAAAAGATTTTATAGTGGATCTTGTTTTTTGTGCACATTTTTAGGGGTAATATTTGCCCCAGGAAGAGAGCAGATGTGTAAAAGTTGTTTTACACTCTCAACTAGCCTATAGGCTAAACATAAAAGAATTTTGCTGCCACTCTCTCTCACTCTCTAGCCTCACTCTGGCTCATGTGCATCTGCTTGTGGCAGCTTCCAGTCCTTGTGTGTGTCTTCACCTTAACAGCACATAGCACCAAATCAAATACTGGAGGAAGAGATAGACCCCATAATGATGTTCTACACTAAAATATTAGTCACATTTTAGAGATTAAAGCTTGCTTATACTTGCATAGTTGTGCTAGATTCAATAATGTGAGTATACTGCAGCAATAACTGCCACATTTCTTGAAAAGGATTAGTTTAACTGTCATAAAAACAACATAGTACACGAGTCTCTTATGTGTATTGATGTTTGACTCTGAACAAAAGTTTTAGACTATGTCTTGAGCTCAGTGTAAGGCTGCAGCTCAGAATGCCTGGCTGTTTCTCAAGTGCAAGGTACTTTGCCTTGTCAGTTGCTTCCTAAGTAATTTCCTCAAGTCCAAGGCTTGTGTCCTGCCTCAGCTCAAACACATGGCTCAGGGAAAAAACCTTACAGTCTTCATAGATCACATATATCAAATGTTCACAACTGAAAATAATTCCATGGGTCTGTATTGCCTTCAGATCAACTTACGTTAATTGAAATAATTATTATTATTATAAGTCAAACAGTTTATCAACAAAACAATATTAATTTTAGCTGCCCCCATCTGTATTAAATAATATTGGCCTATGGAATGCTGTGATGTTATCTGAAACATAGCAAAAAAGCAGCAAAGTAAATTAACCACATGCTAACCAAACAGAGGACACATTCCTGCAGAGAACATGACTGGAACACAACTTGGGCAGTAAGTGATGACCTGGTTGCCTTACCACGCCCAGATCAAACCAAGGCAAGGCAAATCGCCCTGCATTTGAGAAACAGCAATTGTGCTCTGTGGTTGGAGAGCAGGGGTGGAGCCAGGGAGAGAGGAAATAGGCCTGGGGCTCAATCAAAGTTAATGACAAGTATACCATAAAAGAAGGTGGTCCCCCAAAAACTGTGGTAACATTGATCATTATTTTTTTAATGACAATCTGATCTCTGATATGTGATGTTTTTGGTGGAAATAGAATAATAGTATCAATATAATACTAACTATATGATCAATTAATCTTTCATCCAAACATCACTATAAACATGTTTTAAACTTCTCAACTGAACAAAAATATGCCACCAGTCACCACAGCTGTTGTAAACCTTGGCTCTTCAAGATTCAAGGATTTATTGTCATTGTCACAATTAACAACAAAATTATATTTAGAGCATTTTAAACAGTAGTAGTAGTTGCTAGTGCAAAACAGCATTAGTGCAATTCATAAAGTCCAAATATTGGAATGTAAACATACACTATAGAGATACTTACATATAGATAGATATAACACAACAACATGAGATAAAGGTAGAGATAGATATAGCAGTATAAGGTGCAGATGAGCTTGTTTATTGCATCAGTTCAGAGTCCATTCTAGTTGTTCTGGCTGGAAGTGAACTGTACCTCCAACCAGAAGGCACTCTTCCCCTTGCTTCACAAAGCACAATCACTGCACTCACTCGTGGTAATTCAAAGAATTATTCATTCTATTAATAACTTATTCTGGATTAATACTTTGTTTTACAAAACAAAATATTAACAACAAAATATTAACAAAATATAAAATCATGATTTATACATGTTATTGTTCAATACTAAACCATAATATATCTTGTCTGTGTGTAATCTCTCAGTCGTTCAGGTAGGATCCACAGCAACATTCAATTCAATTCAACTGGTCAACTGAACAAAGTTTTTTATTTTTGAGTTAAGGCATTTTGCAGCTTATCCAAGTTGCTTCTTCAGCTCTGGTAAGGATGGAGTTGATGATGTTTAAGACATCATCTTTCTCCTATTTACAACTCCATCCTCAGACTTAAATCAAAACAGGGTAAACAATGGTGACAGACAAAAGCAAAAGAGAGATACAATTCTGTCAGCTGGACACAAGTTATTGATTGAATCCTTAGGTCTCTAAGTCAATCCAAATTGAAATCAAAACAAAGAAAACAATAGTGATAGCCTGTATGCTAAGGGGTGCCTGAATGATCATGCTAATATGAATCATTTCTCACAGTTCACACTTAGTGCAGTTCAGCAGACCTAACCAACAAACAGAAACTGTAAACAGGTGGGTGAATTTTAGAGCAGTTTCTGGGTAGTTGGCTCCTCCCAGTTAGATATAAGGCAGTGTCCACCAGCAATCTAACCAGAACTGAAGAAACAGCTTGGATGATCTATGAAACATCCAGTTGACAGAATTGAATTTCTCTTTTGCTATGGATCCTACCTGGACGATTGAGGGATCATACAGACTGTAATAGACTGTATGTTAATAGGTGTGAAAGCACTCATCTGGGGCCTGAATGATGATGCTAAAATGACTCAGGCATTTTAGCATCATCGTTCAATAGACTTAGTGTAGTTCAATAGACCTTACTAGTTTCATTGTAGTTAGCTCCTTTCTCCAGGCAGATATAAAGCAGTGTCCAAAAGCAATCTGACCAGAACTGAAGAAGCAGCTTGGAGGAGCTATGAAATGTCTTCACTCAAAATTTTTGTCCAGTTGACAGAACGGGATCTTTCTTTTGCTGCATAATATGTCTTCTTTTACTACCATCATTTATTCTCTATGGGACATGTCTTTAAAAAAAAGAAAAAATATGAAATTAGTATCATGTTCACACAAGATAAATTTGCTTTATAAGCAAAAGTTGAGACACACAATACAATATACAAATTGGTTCAATATACAGATTACCTCATTGTGGGCCATGGCTTCACAAATATGATATGAAATGGTTAAATTTCCCGAATGAACCCAAGGAAAACAGTCTCACCTATCACCACAAGAGGGCGCACACAACCTTCTTCACAAACTAATGCTGTTTAGGGTTGCACTATTTTTAAGTAAAAAATTAATTATGTTAAATGACAAGTTTGAATTAAGATATATGTTTATTGAAATTCTTTTGCCATTAAGTATCAGTAAAAGCCAACATACTATGATAAGAACTGAAAAAGTCAATGTTATTGAAGTACAGCCTTTTTTAAAATAATGATCAGCTTTCTGGTGTGCATGTAAACATAGCTACTGACATCATGACTGGTTTGCTCAGATTTTTTTTTGTTTTAGGATTCGCTGCCTCACCAAAGATAAAATCTGCTTCACCTGCAGATCGGTTGTATCGGACCGTTCTGATAAAGAAGGAACTGAGTCGAAATTCAAAGCTTTCAATTTATCGGTTAGTCTGCGTTTCTACCTTCATGAGCTTTGGGTAACAACTGAAAGGACATAATCACAGATACAAGCATTCGAAATTAGTTTCCTCTGCAGACTGGCTGCTCTCTTAGAGATAGGATGAGAAGCTTAGTCAGGGAGGAATTCAGAGTAGAGCCGCTGCTCCTCCACATTGAGAGGAGTTAGCTGAGGTGACTTAGGCATCTGTTCCATATCTCCTGGATGCCTCCGGGCACATCCCACAGGGAGGAGGTCCCAGGGAAGATCCAGGACATGGCTGGCATGGGAACACCTTGGGATCCCCTTAGAAGAGCTGGAGGAAGTGTGTGTGGAGAGGGACGTCTTTGCCTCCCTCCTCAGACTATTGCCCCCGTGACTCAATCCCAGATAAACCGGTAGAAAAAGGATGGATGCCTCACCAAAGAAGACCTTTGGAAACGACTCTTCCTTCTGCCTTCTCTTTCCGTCTAAGAGGAAACTCTTAGAAGGAAAGTTGCCTCATTGAAGCAATTAAACTGTTTCTACAGTTACACTGAGGAATAAGCAAAGTATTTCTTTATTCAGCTTTTTCGTAGCAGCGTCCAAACAAAAGAAATGTTTAAGTTGTTCAAGACTTCACAGAATTGGTTCTAAAATTCTGTGGAAATAAATAATGAATGAAACAAAAATATAACAGGGGAATTTGGGGGACACCCCTTCTTGAACCTTAACGTGGTGGAGGGGTTTGAGTGCCTGAATGATCCTGGGAGCTATGTTGTCGGAGGCTTCATGCCCCTGGTAGGGTCACCCACGGCAAATAGGTCCTGGGGGACGGGTCAGACTAAGAGTGGTTCAGAAGCTCTTATAATGAGTAACAGAGCAAGGCCAGTTACGTCGCCTGGATTGGCGTTACCGGGGCCATACCCTGGAGCCAGGCCTGGAGTGGGTGTTCGACATCAAGCGTCTGGTGGCTGGGCCTTCCCCCACAGGACCTGCCTGGGGAAAGCCCAAAGGAGCGATGTGGGGCCGTCCTCCTGTGGACCCACTATCCACAGGAGGATCAATAAGGGCCCTGTGCAAAGAGATGTGAGAGAGGCCGAGGTGGTCCTGAGAGGGGCCCGTTGCTGCAGTAATTGTAGGAGCCATGTGTGGATGTGAGCTGTAGAGCTTTGTGGAGAGAGTCCGCTGTGTGCTCCTTCAGCTTCATATATGTAGAGCCACATGAATGTGTGGGTCTAGGCATGGGACTAATTTCTCACAGATGACACAGAAAGACAATATGATATATACTTGTGTAAAATATCTAATAATGTGAAGGAGATGGTAGTTTAATGTTATGAGGCCATTCTTTTACTAGTTTATATAACAACACTCTGTCACAGTTCTTTGTGAGTGTTAAAATCTTTCTTTTAGGAGACGACAGATGGGTTAAGATTTCAGGGATATCTTTTTTAAGATCACTGTATGAAATACACAAATATAATATGTTGTTTTTTCAAAGGTACACTATGAACTTTACTGGTAAGATAAGTTTCTTGAATCTTTCTTTCCATGTAAAGTGTCTTTGAGTGTCCCAAAAATCATTAAATAAGTTTGATGAATTATTAATATCATTATAATACGCCTATACTAGAACAAAGAGGCTTTCAGTGGTCCATTAAACTTCTTGAAATTAAGTTGGCAAATGTTTGCATTGGCTCCAAAGCGCAAGACATGAAGTAAGGCCTAGCTTGTCCTTGTGAAGTGTGCCAGTTCCCCTTGAGACGAGGCAGGAGCTACTGGGTTAGGAAGGTTAATCTGAGTGAACCACAACTATGCTCTCCACTGCTTTCCCACACTCAGCCCATTGTCAGTCAGCAGTAACAATAGACATGTGCCTAGTCAGATGCTAATAGGCTCCCTCCACACACATTCACAGTGGTCCTCAGAGGCCAGAGTTTGTTGTTTAGACATTCATTCACCAACTAGAGGAATAAGCATTAATAGTGACGATGGTGTAGTGTGGAAACTAATTAAGTGATTGTTTTACAGTTGGATTTACAGACTTGTAAATACTGATGTAATTTAGTGGACAGTCATTAAGAAACATCAGGAATGACTAGTGAAAATATACATACATGTTTTTTTCTGTACATGTTTTGTTTTTTTATGATAACCAGTATTGTTGTGCTTCAAATAAAATGTATGAAAATTAGATGAAATGGACCATTGTCATCCCCACAGCGATTAGTGCAATAGCTAAAATATTTTAAGAAGATTTGCTCCAACAGATTAAAACAGTGAGAGTAAAAGTTGCTATTTATTTGGAACATCGGATCTCAGACAGTTCCTATCTATTTTGCATAATGTTGCCATAACTTAACTAAATGCATGCTTTAAATGTAGTGTTGGGAGAATCCTAGCCTGTCAGACGCATCTATTGCCCTGTATTGTTGTGGTCTGTGTGTGATTGGGGTGCCCCTGCTTTCCCACAGTCTGTCTTTTCACTGTGCCACAGACAAAAGAAGTGTGTCTGGGAGCATCGTATCAATTATGGAGTCTGTAATGGTGAATTTAGTCTCACCAGTCACTCAATGGAAATTCCTGTCATTTTCAGACTCATCAGCTTTTGTCATAAACCAGGAGGAATGCAGACAGCGAGACGATTAAAGGGACATTCACAGGATATTTGTATCTTTGTAAATTCATTTCAGGAAATTGAGGGGAGTTTCACACATCTATAAACTAAAACAAATCTAAAAGCTAAATTATAAATTGCAAATGATCACATACTTAGCACTTTATAGCACTTCACTTATTTCCTACATTCCTACATTTCCTTTCCTACATTCTCAAAGCACTTGAAGGGATGGCAAGCACCCATTTTAGAACCCTTGTCAAATTATAGAAGGTTAAAAAACAAAATTATACAGCAACATTTTTTCTTATTCTTACCTGAAACGAATAATGTTTTGTGATTGTGGATGTTATTTTTAATTTCAATTTTACTTACAATGATGTACCCCCTTTTAATTCCTGCACTTCCACTGTAATAATTAGTCAAATGTATCTACATGACTCAAAATTACTTGAATTGAATTATTTTTATGTTAATTTTGCCTGAAAAAACAAACAAACAAATAAGTAAAAGAATTAGTTCAGTCAGATATGTTTTGAAATTGTATGTGTACAGCAGTTTGTGTTTGAAAGTGCTGTTACAACACTAGAAGTCAGAACTCATACCTTCTGTGGAGATGCTATGGTTTCCTCTTTTAGACACTATCTAGTATTCAAAATAAACTACCACTTAGGTGAAATTAAAATGCTTAACTGGATCTGATGAAAGTCCAAAATCTAGACTTTGTATGTATAGTCAATATCATTTTGTGATATTGTTTACTTACGTTGTCCACAGGTTATAACTACTTTCCCATCTCATCTTCAGTTTAGTGATGAGTGTATATCATTGATCAGACAGGGTCAGCACTTTCCCAGATTCACACAGAGTCGGTCTATGGCCCCAGTCCTCCACCTGTTCCCCAGAGACCCACCATTATCCACAAGGCAATAACCCTATTCATTGAACTGCATCTTCTATTGTACCTCTCTGCACTCTGATTGGCTGAGAGTGTGAGAAACTAGTCCCAGTCCTAGACCCACACATTCATATGGAGATGTGGCTCTATAAATATGAAGCTGAAAGAGCACACAGCAGACTCTCTCCACAGAGCTCTACAGCTCACATCCACACATGGCTCCTACAATCACTGCAGCAATGAGCCTCTCTCAGGACCACCTCAGCCTCTCTCACAAGGTAAACACAGTTTGATTCTTCTACTCAGCCTTTTATGAGACCTGTACAGTTTGAGTCAGTCATTTCTGTAGAACAAATGAACTCATGTGTGTCTTGTTGTTGCAGCTGAGAAAGCCTGTGGTGGAGAAGCTGCGCAGAGAGAGGATCAACAGCAGCATTGAGCAGCTCAAGTCTCTCCTGTGTGCAGAGTTCCTCCAACAGCAGCCGGACTCCAAGCTGGAGAAAGCAGACGTCCTGGAGATGACCGTCACTGTGCTCACACGTCTGCAGCAGCAGCAACAGCATGGAGCTTTGGGTCAGGGCTACTCTAGATGTTCGCAAAAGGTGGCAGACTTCATATCCAAGGAGAGTCTGAAGAGCCAGTCCCAGAGACCTCTGCTCCTGTCCTCCACAGAGAGAACTCTCAGCACAGTCCACATGTGGTGCAACAATGACAGGAGTCAGGGGAGCGCCCTCTGGAGGCCATGGTAGAGCTGGGATATTGAGCATAATACATTTGAGCTGCTGACCAAATTGGTCAACATTAGCAACAGACAATGTCTGTGGTTCATCATGCTGGATTTTTGTATCTTTTATAAAGATGCATCTGATGTGTCTTATAACACCTTTTATAAAGGATTTTCTGTGTAATATTTGCAGAAACCAGAAGCCTGTCTTTTGAATGTTATGCCACTATTGTGAGGTTTTCCTGAAATATGTTTATTCCACATTGGAATGTATAATGAAATCTTGTGTGGCCCATGTGTCTGTTTGGGAGATGTGTTCATAATATGAATGTGACGGACTCACCTATTGAAAGGTGTCTGTTGTAGATTGTACTGTGTACAGCAGTCTGTGTTTGAACAGGCTCATTGATATGAGACTCATGTGCTGTTATGACTCTGAGAGTCAGCACTCATGCCTTCTGTGAAGAATTTACTGTTAGAAAACTAAATGAATGTATCTCTTCAAGCCAAGTGATGCGCATTAAAACAATCACAAAAAACAAACCCACTCTTTTTTGTCATTTTCTTATTAGATAAGTCCAATGTACACAGAAAGGAAATCAGATCAAATTAAGAAAATTAAGCAGGAGTACACTTCAGTAGCCTACAAAAAACTGAAGACACATTCTCAACACAACACAAATGAAACTAACTTATGCTAGTAAAAGTAAAAGTAAAGCAAATAGCTCACTTGGTATGGGGTTTGTCCACTGAAGGTTGGTGGTTCAAATCCCACTCGCAGTATAAACATCATTGGTAGAGTGGTCAGATCCACTGACCCACAGGTTGGCAGTGTGACTGCAGCTGCAACAGACGAATGCTGTCATTGTATCCTAGGGCAAGTAATTAAGTAAGCACACTTTATTAATTTATTTATTTCACAAAGTGCTTTACAGAGAGCAGGTACACCATAAAACAACAATAAGATTTTTCTAAACAGAAATGTCTTCAGCAGCTTTTTAAAAGAATCTACAGATTCAGCCACACACAGAACAGAGCAGAGCATTCTATGACTCTGAACCCCACTCACCCCCTGTGTCTGCTTACACTTGTGTGTGAATGGGTGACTGGTTCCTTGATGTAAAGTGCTTTGAGTTCTTTGAAGGTGGAAAAGCGCAATATAAAAATATGACCAGTTACCATGGTTAATCAAGGTATGGCATCCTTATTAGGTGTCATTTTTATTATTATTGTCTGTTCTAAATCCTGAAAAGCTCAAAATGAGGCAACAGCAAACTGTTGGTGTAATCGCTCAGTTGTTCAGGTAGGATCTATCGCAGTTCAGAACTAAAGAAGCAGTTTGGATGAGCTGCGAAGCATATTAGATCAAAACACAATTGTCCAAATGACAGAACTGAATTTCTCCTTTGCAACAGCAAATGTTTATTAATGATGACTCAGATTCAAATTTCACAAAAATTATGAGACGGCATATTTCCACTTTTTTTTTTTTTTTTTATCAATTATGACATCCATAAACAAGAAATATAAACATTATAATGACCTTTCCAAAATAAAGGTTTCCTGACATTGCACCCTTTACAGGGTAAAAACACAATCACAGGTTGTTTAACACTAACATCAATCTCTTTTGTTAAACATAAATTAAATTACATTTTGTGGTTCACAAATTAACCACATATGTATTTGTTTTCATAAACTCAATCTTCAGTAGTTTGAATCATAAATTATTTTATGACAATATATACTTTTATACTTTGTGCCACAACCTCTTGCCTTGTCAATGATCTTTGTCCATTGAGTCCTTTTTGGTTTCTATAGAAACAGTGGACACACATCATCCTCTGCTTCAGGAAGGAGCTGTAAAATATCCCGTGAATATTTGGAGTAGCCGTTGTGTAGCAGGATGGTTTTCCTCAGTGTGAATAAAGACAGTGTTTTGTCCAGCAGTTCTGACAGTGAGATCCCACTCCATGTATGCTGCTCAAGCAAAGTCTTCAGCCTCTCCAGTTTACTGCTACATTTCCTCTCCAAGACAAGGAGCTTACACCTGAGGGACACAAATACATATTTTAATTGTTACTCAACTATACATAACCATGATTTTTGTAATAATGTGTATGATTTTCATTTGTTTTACATTTTTTTGTCATGCAAGAGTTTTCTATGCCTTGAGATGTTGATTTTAATGTTGCATTGCAACTGAAAAGCCTGCCTGTGTCTTGCAATTTTATCTGAATTCCTTTTTAATTATTAAAAAAAAAAGTAAATAAAAGATTTGAGTGATCATTTTGTAAGAAAAGCATTTAATCTTACCTAAAAAGCTGTTCCTTGATGCTGTCCTGCATATCCAAATCTGAGTACTGAACCATTCTGTGGTTTCTGTTGGTCCTGTTTGTATAAAGAGATGATGAGTCTGGTCCTGGTTCCAACGCGCTATATTTAAGCAGCTCATCCTGATGCTTTAGCCAACCACAGAGCAGCATGGGCGGGACAATGTGGTGAATGATGTGTGTCCCATGGAACAGGTGGGACCCTCAGAGTTCGGTGGGAAAGTGACTGACCTCAAGTGGACATAGAATATTAATGTACTTTAAAAAAAAAAAAAAACTGAATATAAATGACCAATAATGTGATATCAATATTTGTAATACAATGGCATTTTCAAAATGTTTGATAGGCTGTAACATTAACTATGGGATACTTGAGCATCTGCATTATAATTATTGAAAATCCTTGCACATTCTATCAACACTTAGTTTTTTTTAATGATACCAATATGCAGAGACAATAGAAAAAAGCAGAACATACATGTATACAGTCATGACAAAGATAATAAAAATACATTACAATTACGTTACACGCACATCTATCTATCAACATTTTTCAAGTGAATTTCAAAGTTAAATGGATAGGATCTGTATCATTTTAAAGGAGACATTATTTTAGTAATAAACTATAAACAAAAACACAGAACATATATTGATTATTATTTTACTTTTCATTGTAAAAAATAAACAGATCTTTTGACTTCTGAAGACCTGCCAGTCTTCATGGTAACATTTCAAAAGAACTAAATTTTAATTTACATAAAAACTCACTTTTAGGTAACATGTTCCCATTTAATTAATTGATGTACCTTTGCATCCCACAATCTTCATATTTTAGTTCTGTCCATAAAAAAAAGAAAAGTTGTAAAAAATATCTGGTAGCTTTAATTTGTACCACAAATTAATTTTGTCAGGTTACAGTAACTCACCTTTATGCACCAGATAAGCCTGTGTTTGTCATCATATCATATCATCTTTGCACTGTTTCCTTATGACCTCTTGTACCTATGATATACTGTATTTATATTATGATATTTGTGTTTTACTTACTGTGCATACTTTTATATAATTTATTTATTGATACTCATCTCTTGCTATTTTTTATGACACCTTATTTAGAAGTTGATAAATGTTTTGGTTTTTTTTGCTTTTATTTTTTACTCTGTAGTATTGTAATGTAATGTGATGTGTGAGCTACTGTGTCCAAGTAATGTCCCTTGTGGATCAATAAAATCTGAAGTACAGTACAGAGGTAAGGTACAGCTTTAGTCTTCCACACCACACATGCCCGAGATGATTTATTGGGACTATGGCAGATGGGAAGCCTCTGAGAGTGGACACACTTCTATTGTGCTGAAAACTGTGGGAAACAGTTCCTAGCACAGGAGCCAGAGGAGCGGGTGTGCTCTCAAAACATCATAACTAAAGATTCATCAAATGTGGAGGGCCTGCAAATCAATGCAAATGCAAATGATCTAAACTCTGAGGCTTGCTTATGCTTCTTCATAAATCATTTTAAAAATTGTGAATACTTTAAATGATTCTTGAGCAATGTTATGTGCCAATTCTCGCTCTGCTCATGAGCATGATGATGCTGTTCTCATGTATATCTTTTGCACTATGTTAAGAGGTGTGCTATATTTATAGCTGGAACCCTATGACATTTTTGCTGGCTTACAAGTGAAAAAATGCATCTTTGTTTCATGCCATAACAGTTTCAAAGGCATGATTATGGTATCAATTTATGAAACCACATGTGACGAGGTGACTAATGGAGCACACTTCTTTTGTTAGTGCGGTGAAAGGCAGAGTGTGGGAAACCAGAGGAGACACACTCACAGCCGCAGAGGGATAATAGATGAAGACCTCTGACCTGAGCACACAGGTCTCATGGGACATTCACCACTCACTCTCCCTCACTTTTACACCAACTTTTAAACTTGTGTTGTTCGTGAAGAACCTGTATGTGCAGAATAAACTGTTGGAGTGACTGTACATGTCATAGTTTAGTGACTTCTGTTTGAGGTTGAGATGAAGAGGCGTGTGCAGTGTCCACCTGCTCCTCAGAGCTGACCTCAGGCCACAACAGCATCTGCCAAGCTCCAGCTCCCATTGTCAGTGCTGCTCTCTGATTGGCTGAGAGTGTGAGAAACTAGTCCCAGTCCTAGACCCACACATTCATATGGAGATGTGGCTCTATAAATATGAAGGCTGAAAGAGCACACAGCAGACTCTCTCCACAGAGCTCTACAGCTCACATCCACACATGGCTCCTACAATCACTGCAGCAACAGGCCTCTCTCAGGACCACCTCAGCCTCTCTCACAAGGTAAACACAGTTTCATTCTTCTACTCAGCCTTTTATGAGGCCTGTACAGTTTGAGTCAGTCATTTCTGTAGAACAAATGAACTCATTTTGTGTCTTGTTGTTGCAGATGAGAAAGCCTGTGGTGGAGAAGCTGCGCAGAGAGAGGATCAACAGCAGCATTGAGCAGCTCAAGTCTCTCCTGTGTGCAGAGTTCCTCCAACAGCAGCCGGACTCCAAGCTGGAGAAAGCAGACGTCCTGGAGATGACCGTCACTGTGCTCACATGTCTGCAGCAGCAGCACAAGACACACTTCCTGTCCCAGAGCCTCATGAAGAGCTCTCAGCAGAGCCACTGCACTGAGCTGCACAACCACAGCAGCAACTGCAAAGACAAGAGTCCAGTGAGCAGCGCCCCCTGGAGGCCATGGTAGAGCCTGCACCTTGCTCAGACTGACAGTAACTATAGACCACACTGGTCTGAGATCCTCAGAGTTCTTTTGCATTTAAAAATCTCTGGGACTGATGTTTTATTTTAAATAGGAAATGTTGCATTTCCTGTGGAAATGTTGGTCAAGACTGGACTGAAGATATTTGAATTCAAGAAGTTCTTCAACTGATAAGTTGTGTCTGATTCAAGACATTTTCTTCTGAGTTAGCAGAAGTCATGGATTGTCAACAATATATTTCCTATGGAAAGCATTTGACATATTTAACTTTCATTTGAAAGACACTTTGTCATACATGTTGTATGAATCTAAATGATTGTCTGTTGTTTTAAACAAAAGCAAATGCCGCACATTAGTTTTATAATGTGGGCATGTTCTGCTGTATGTTTTTTTTTTTTCTCTCTGAGAAAAGCTGTGCATGATCCAGTGTAAACTTGGTCAGATATATTTTATATTGTATTTGCTCCTTTGATTGTGAAGGCCTCTAATGTACCTGTGTCACATTGTGGTGACAGCGTGTCAGTGGGACCTGTTGTAGGGTCTCTTGTATTGAACTTGTTGAGGAAGTCCATATTGGTCTGGACCAGGATTAACTGTGTCTTTTATAAAGACTGTGTCCTCTGCTCTGTAAGAGCACTGTGTCTTGTACAAACTACAAGCTGCTGTTGTGATGCATCATCACCTATTTTTAAATAAAAAGCCAAAATACATACAGTTGTGGACTGAGATGATTGACAGTAACACAAAATGATACTTCTATATTTAAATTAAACCTTCTGCTTGTAATGAGTGTCGGCTCATGATGACACACAAACAGAAGCAAAGTGTCAGCAGTCACCTCGATTCTCTTTAAGTCTCACAAATCTGTTTAGAAATCCAGGGGTATTAATAAACATGAGCTCAAAGAGTCAAATCAACCGAAGAAATCCGCATTTCACAGTTGTATGCAGCTAAAGCAGTCTTCCTGAAAATGTGAAACAGGCCTCTCATCAGACAATGTTCAAATCCAGTTTCAAAACTGTTCTCTTTAATTATGCATATGACTCTATTTATAACTTTATAAAATGTATATTTATCTATTATTATCAGTGAAACATCTGACCAAATATAAGCCATGTAAGAGTTTGTGTGCCCATGACATTTAAAATAAATTGTAGTAAGTGATGAAACAGGTACTTCTGACGTCAGTGCTCTACACACACAGATATGTTGTTGAGGTAAATTTAGGAGAAAATATTTCAAATATGGTTAGCCAATCAGAGACTTTCCCTCCAAGTCCCTAATGATGTTATCTCAAGTCTCCATAAAAGACAAATTTAAAAACAACAGAGCTTGATGTTCATTAAGCCTAAAGTTAAACCATACTAATTGAGATTAAATTTAGACTAAATTTGGCATTCAAAGGTACATGTATTTATAGTGACCCTGGGGTTGGACCACATTTGTGTGTGTGTGTGTGTGCATAATTAATCTTTATTGCATTATGATTTAATATACTGAGTGAGAAGACAATGCAAACTGCACTTGAGCCTAAACACGCCTTTTTCTAGTGATCCTTTTAATTGCAATGATAATATTGCAATAATAAATAAATGAGAGAACATCATACTACATGAAAATAATTACAATATTTATTGATACTTGAAAGTGATGATGCATCACAACAGCAGCTTGTAGTTTGTACAAGACACAGTGCTCTTACAGAGCAGAGGACACAGTCTTTATAAAAGACACAGTTAATCCTGGTCCAGACCAAAAGAGACCCTACAACAGGTCCCACTGACACGCTGTCACCACAATGTGACAAAGGTACATTAGAGGCCTTCACAATCAAAGGAGCAAATACAATATAAAACAATATCTGACCAAGTTTACACTGGATCATGCACAGCTTTTCTCAGAGAGAAAACAAAAAACATACAGCAGAACATGCCCACATTATAAAACTAATGTGCGGCATTTGCTTTTGTTTAAAACAACAGACAATCATTTAGATTCATACAACATGTATGACAAAGTGTCTTTCAAATGAAAGTTAAATATGTCAAATGCTTTCCATAGGAAATATATTGTTGACAATTCATGACTTCTGCTAACTCAGAAGAAAACGTCTTGAATCAGACCATATAACTATATAACATGTAACTATAGACCAGTGTGGTCTATAGTTACTGTCAGTCTGAGCAAGGTGCAGGCTCTACCATGGCCTCCAGGGGGCGCTGCTCACTGGACTCTTGTCTTTGCAATTGCTGCTGTGGTTGTGCAGCTCAGTGCAGTGGCTCTGCTGAGAGTTCTTCATGAGGCTCTGGGACAGGAAGTGTGTCTTGTTCTGCTGCTGCAGACGTGTGAGCACAGTGACGGTCATCTCCAGGACGTCTGCTTTCTCCAGCTTGGAGTCTGGCTGCTGTTGGAGGAACTCTGCACACAGGAGAGACTTGAGCTGCTCAATGCTGCTGTTGATCCTCTCTCTGCGCAGCTTCTCCACCACAGGCTTTCTCAGCTGCAACAACAAGACACAAAATGAGTTAATTTGTTCTACAGAAATGACTGACTCAAACTGTACAGGCCTCATAAAAGGCTGAGTAGAAGAATGAAACTGTGTTTACCTTGTGAGAGAGGCTGAGGTGGTCCTGAGAGAGGCCTGTTGCTGCAGTGATTGTAGGAGCCATGTGTGGATGTGAGCTGTAGAGCTCTGTGGAGAGAGTCTGCTGTGTGCTCTTTCAGCTTCATATTTATAGAGCCACATCTCCATATGAATGTGTGGGTCTAGGACTGGGACTAGTTTCTCACACTCTCAGCCAATCAGAGCGCAGCACTGACAATGGGAGCTGGAGCTTGGCACATGCTGTTGTGGCCTGAGGTCAGCTCTGAGGAGCAGGTGGACACTGCACACGCCTCTTCATCTCAGCCTCAAACAGAAGTCACTAAACTATGACATGTACAGTCACTCCAACAGTTTATTCTGCACATACAGGTTCTTCACGAACAACACAAGTTTAAAAGTTGGTGTAAAAGTGAGGGACAGTGAGTGGTGAATGTCCCATGAGACCTGTGTGCTCAGGTCAGAGGTCTTCATCTATTGTCCCTCTGCGGCTGTGAGTGTGTCTCCTCTGGTTTCCCACACTCTGCCTTTCACCGCACTAACAAAAGAAGTGTGCTCCATTAGTCACCTCGTCACAACTGACCATTTAAATATCTCTTCTAGAGCACTGTGGCCTGTTCAACTCAAGTTTATCTCTTAAGATTCTGAACCTTACAAACATCAGTTATTTTTAAACAGCCTTAAATAAATACATTATTCTTATTTAGTTTTTTACCAAAAAATGTTACAATAAAAAAATAAGGGTTTCGAGAGATTGCCCTTGTGAAGCAGTTACCAGATAATTTAATAAACAATTAAAACAACTAAGTTTTCATTTTTAACACATATATTGTGTCTTTATTTGATCACAGATATTCTGACCATACTGTAGGTGAACAGTGAGACAAGTCCTGACATGATCTGGTTAAAGCCGGTGCCAGATGTGTGTCATGTGACATGTGTCTTTAGTCCTGAGTAAAAAGTGTCCCTCTGTTTCCCACACACTCTTTGTGTTGTGGGTGCACTGAACCATGAGGGGCCTGAGGAACAGATGCCCCCAGTGTCGTCATGGAGACACACTCTGACATCATCACGCACTTGGAGGGAAAGTCTCTGATTGGCTAAAGTTTTACATTTGAAAAGTGCATTCACAAGTGTAACTTTTTACGAGTAGACTGGAAGGCCTGTTTGTTAAACACGTTGCTGTGAACCTGTTTTTGTTTCTGTCTGTGTGCAGTCGTCTTCACTCGTCTACTACATGAGTAGTGTTTATCTGAGCTCTTCATTAACAGTAAAACAAAGTGTGAGTCACATGACCGAAACAAGTATTGTTCTATCCAAATTCTTCTGTTTAATGTTCTGTCAGGAATAAAGCCCATTCTCTCTGTTCTTCTGCTGTTGTCTTTATGTTAATTATTTTAGCCACACAGTCTTTTACAAACCTCTCTTTTCCAACTAATGGGACAGAATGGACCTCAGATGACTTTAAAATGTATGTATTGTTCTCTTTTTCATGTAGTTGTTTTGTATTTTCTGGCTAACATTTTGTCAGAGCTGATGAAGGTTTAAAACACTAAGCAGTCTTTCACTAATTCCTGTAATGCTCTCTTCACTAAAGGATCACAATGGTGGAGGTCTACTTTCAGAAAGGCTCACACAACTAGAGCAAAAATGTTGGATTTGTAACACTATTTGAAGTGAGGAGAGGACACAAACTGCTAATTCATACTCAAAGAAGATATATGTAATTACAAAAGAAATTGATTTTTTAAAAATTGATTTTTTTTTGTCTGTGTGTGAAATCACCTCCATATGGAACAGGGCTGACTTTGAACACACTCATAGGTACAATATCTCCCCTCTTCTGAAAATCATGCCATAGTGTTGTATATATGTTACAGGCAACTACAAGTCATTCTATAAAATGCCTAGGGAGTTTGATAAAGTGGAGAATCTCTGGCAAAGTATAGCATTTCATGTCATGGAACGCAAATACACAAGAACACACCAAAACTTGAATTTAATAGATAGCCTTACATTAGCTTTATTAAAATTTTGATGCCCTGAGTCATTGTTTTTGGATATCAGCTACTCTGTTCCTCAAAAATCTTCATTATTTACACAAAATCACAGTTTTCTTGCTTTAGATGTTCTTCACCCAACACAACCTTCTTCCATCTAGATCAGTGGTCACCAACCTGTAGATCGCGATCAACAGTTCGATCTTTGCCGTGTCCCCGATAGATCTCCAGTTTAATTCAACAATTTGTGATACTAGATGTGCATTGAAAGTGAGCACTTACTTTGGTTTAACTTATCTGCGTGAGGTGGTCTTTTCACAAATGAAAATCAACAAATCCAAGCACAGAAACAGTCTGACTGATAGGCACCTCACAGATTGTCTCAGTTTAGCTGTCTGCAACTATAAACCAAACTTCAAAACATTGCCCAAGGAAATTCAGACTCACTCATCACCCTGAGTTTGATAATAATAGAACTTCTCTCATTGACCCTTAATGCTGTTTAGTGATCAAATTTGCACTATTTTGGTTGCTTTCACTGCATTTGGTTTGCATTTTGTTTGTATTGCAGTTGCACATTTTTTCTTGCAGAAAGTGTTTTAGTCCCCATTTTGTAATGAGTGTTCCTTAAGTTACCATATTGAAACAATAAAGCTGTCTGGAACTATAAACATGATCACTTTTGTTGTTATTTACGTTCATGTTGGTAGATCTTGCTCTTTTCTCGGAAGAAGCATGTAGATCTTTGTCTGAAAAAGGTTGGTGACCACTGATCTAGATTGTGATGTCATACTCGCAGATGGGGGCAACAGAAAGTGTTTTTTGTTTTTGTTTTTTTATTGTTCTTGTTGTCATTTTTTGTATTTTTATTATTGACAATCCATTGCTTTTGTACCAATAAATACATTTTTAAAATGTTCTAGCCATTAAGGGATGTACAGTAAACACATATTTCCATGTTAAACTGAAAGTAGGCTGCACTGGACAATTGAAATTATTCCTTTATGGGATATCAGTTCACATACTGAAATCTATCACATTCTTGCTGCTAGAGATGTAAGGATATCTTTGTTCAAGTGAATGTTATGAATCATGTGGGAGTCCCAAGGATTTTGGTAAGATTAAAAATAAACTTTCTCATCAGTAAATAAAACTAATGGTATGAACTCTTCTTCCAAATTGTTTGTTATTGATTTTTAGTTACTGAATCTCCTTTTAAATGGTCAGTTGAGGTGACTAATGGAGCACACTTCTTTTGTTAGTGCGGTGAAAGGCAGAGTGTGGGAAACCAGAGGAGACACACTCACAGCCGCAGAGGGATAATAGATGAAGACCTCTGACCTGAGCACACAGGTCTCATGGGACATTCACCACTCACTCTCCCTCACTTTTACACCAACTTTTAAACTTGTGTTGTTCGTGAAGAACCTGTATGTGCAGAATAAACTGTTGGAGTGACTGTACATGTCATAGTTTAGTGACTTCTGTTTGAGGTTGAGATGAAGAGGCGTGTGCAGTGTCCACCTGCTCCTCAGAGCTGACCTCAGACCACAACAGCATGTGCCAAGCTCCAGCTCCCATTGTCAGTGCTGCGCTCTGATTGGCTGAGAGTGTGAGAAACTAGTCCCAGTCCTAGACCCACACATTCATATGGAAATGTGGCTCTATAAATATGAAGCTGAAAGAGCACACAGCAGACTCTCTCCACAGAGCTCTACAGCTCACATCCACACATGGCTCCTACAATCACTGCAGCAACAGGCCTCTCTCAGGACCACCTCAGCCTCTCTCACAAGGTAAACACAGTTTCATTCTTCTACTCAGCCTTTTATGAGGCCTGTACAGTTTGAGTCAGTCATTTCTGTAGAATAAATTAACTCATTTTGTGTCTTGTTGTTGCAGCTGAGAAAGCCTGTGGTGGAGAAGCTGCGCAGAGAGAGGATCAACAGCAGCATTGAGCAGCTCAAGTCTCTCCTGTGTGCAGAGTTCCTCCAACAGCAGCCGGACTCCAAGCTGGAGAAAGCAGACATCCTGGAGATGACCGTCACTGTGCTCACACGTCTGCAGCAGCAGAACAAGACACACTTCCTGTCCCAGAGCCTCATGAAGAACTCTCAGCAGAGCCACTGCACTGAGCTGCACAACCACAGCAGCAACTGCAAAGACAAGAGTCCAGTGAGCAGCGCCCCCTGGAGGCCATGGTAGAGCCTGCACCTTGCTCAGACTGACAGTAACTATAGACCACACTGGTCTGAGATCCTCAGAGTTCTTTTGCATTTAAAAATCTCTGGGACTGATGTTTTATTTTAAATAGGAAATGTTGCATTTCCTGTGGAAATGTTGGTCAAGACTGGACTGAAGATATTTGAATTCAAGAAGTTCTTCAACTGATAAGTTGTGGGTGTGTTCTGCTGTATGTTTTTTTTTTCTCTCTGAGAAAAGCTGTGCATGATCCAGTGTAAACTTGGTCAGATATTGTTTTTATATTGTATTTGCTCCTTTGATTGTGAAGGCCTCTAATGTACCTGTGTCACATTGTGGTGACAGCGTGTCAGTGGGACCTGTTGTAGGGTCTCTTGTGTTGAACTTGTCGAGGAAGTCCATATTGGTCTGGACCAGGATTAACTGTGTCTTTTATAAAGACTGTGTCCTCTGCTCTGTAAGAGCACTGTGTCTTGTACAAACGACAAGCTGCTGTTGTGATGCATCATCACTGCTACTCTGAGCCAACTGAATAAAAGAATGAAGGTTATCTCATGAATTACTCAGAGCTTTTCTTTTCTCACTCACCAGTCCTTTACTAAAATGGTTAACTGTAATTGTTATACATCTTCTAGTGGCTTCCATACATGTTCTGAAATTACAAAGAGTAAATACAAAATTTAAATTTTAATTAAAAAACATAATCCTAGACCAGGTTGTAGATCTGTATGCGAAAAGCAATTATTGTCTATGATGGTGCATTCTTTTTAAAATGTTTATTTAAATCTGTTGAAAATCTGGCTAAAAGTAACCCAACATAACTTTAATACATATAAGACATGGGGGGAATGTTTTCATTTTGATTTAGGCAGATGTCTTGAAAAGTTTAAAGGAAACCAGAGTTCAAATGTGTGCTTTTGACCACTTGGATAGGTAACCTCTGAAAAAAAGATTTAAATAAAAGTTAAATAAAGGTTAAATACAGCCAATAAAAAACAGAATTTAATTTTGAACATTTGAAACAAGTGAATATAAATGAAGTCACAAGAGTACTGATTTTAAAGAGACAGAAACATTTAAAAAACAAATTAAAGCACATCAGTACTGTATGCTTTTATTTAGCCAGTAAACAAATTCCATTTTCCATATTAGACAATGTTATCCTCAAATGTAATTTTGTTTTAATTTATATTAAAACATCATCTGCACTAAAAAAAGAAAAATAGTTTTAAAAACATAAGAATAAATGTGTGATTGTTCATACATCACTACATACAGTATTCAAACAATCACATGTGAATGCTAAATACAAAGCTGTGTACTAAAAATATTTATTATACAAGGATCTGTTAAAATACAACTGAGAGTTTCTCTATTTACACAATTCCTTATGTGTGGATGTATTGCCAACACATATAGGCAAGGCAGTTTTATGATCATACAAATGTGCTTTTAGGTCTTAGATGCAATTCTGTTGGAATTGCATGCATGTGCAATGGTGAAAGAGTCAAATAGGTTGTTACCGGTACAGTTTGTGGTTACAAAGCTTTTCAATGGTGAGTTTTAATGCCCATTTTAAAGCAAAAATTGAAAAAAGCCAGGAATGGTTATGGTCTGTTTTGTAATTTTGGATTGATGACTCATTACACTAAAAAATATGAGCATATTTACTTAAATAAACACATCACTCATTCCATTTTCCACTCTAAAAACATCAAGTAATCCATCATCAGCAGTACTTCAGTCTTGTCAGTAACACAGTTTCCACATCATGAATATAAAATACAATAAAAATATTAGAAAACAAAGTGATGAAGAGATGTCACTGTGAATATAATAAAGTGCTGTGGAAAAACTAACAACACATTTTACATCTGGTGATACAGCAGTCAGTGACAGTGACTTACACATTGTTAAGTGACCGGAGATAGAGCCCACCTACACAATACAGTAGAGACACAATACTGTAACAATCACTAGGCACTTCTACCCTGTGCAGCACTTACAGTAATGGAGATGGGAGTGCAAGTAACAACGGGAGACTAATAAAAAAGCACATTCAGCTACCATGAAAACCTGACATTCAATTTGGTCCAGATTTTATATCATTTTGCCTGGAGATACTTTGGCTGTCACACAGACAGTGCTCCCAGAATCAAGATAAATTTTCCATAAAATATTTCATCTTGTTTGTGAATGGAATTGATAATATGTTTAAAATTAATTGGCTAAATGCACATTATTTGTTTATAACATCATATTACATATAGGAACAATTAAAATAAAATGTTTAGATAATTAATACAATTTACAGAAGAAGGATGTCATAAAACCAAATTTTATAAACTTCTCTTGCCTCTTTCTTGTGAAAATATCTTCAGAATAATTCATTGTGAGTGGAGCAATGAGGTCTTTTCTAGGTGCATGGCTCCATCTAGTGGATGAAAGGTGTCATCATCACACTACAGTGGCAACAGTATTACAGCATTTCAATCCGACAACCTCTATTCTGCACAGTGAAAATGATTTCTACATCTACAGTGTTCTATTACCAAGTGTAACAGGTAACAAGTTCATTCATAAAATATTAAGGTACTATAAAAAGAGATTGATTGACAGGCATATTTCCTTTCTTTAAAGCATTAAATTGTTCCAAAACATTGTGCCCCCTTCACATTACACCAGGCACGTCAAGCCTGCAGGGCATTTCTCAGTGTCAGGAGAGGGAGCAAATGAAGACGTCATGTTGGACAATCACACAAAGCCATATACTGCCTGAAATGTGCTGACAGCGTGAAAGTAACTACCAGTCTACTTGTAGTGAGTAGACCATTGTCCATTCTTGGTCAGAAAAGAAAGTTAGCTTTTTTACACTCAGAGCTGAGAGTCTGCTCCCAGGCTGTTCAACTCCTCAGGTGAGAATTTCTCTCCACGAGTAACTGAGCTCCCTCCAAAACCAGCTGCAATGTCATCAAATGTCCGGCCCTTGGTCTCTGGCACCTTGAAGTAGGTGAAAATGAAGAAGATGAGCAGCAACACGGTGAAGATGACAAACACATACGGGTAGGTGAGCTCCTGTGGAAAGACAAAAAGAATGGGATCAGAAATAATGCATACATTTTTGTTTAATCTGTTCTCTAATTACAGTGTTTCTCATCTCACCTCAATGTACTGGAAGCACATTCCTACTATAAAATTGGCTGTCCAATTTGAGAACCCAGCCACAGCGATGGCTGAAGGCCTGGGTCCCTGTGAGAACAGCTCTGCCACAATAAACCAGGGAATGGGACCTGGTCCGATCTCAAAGAAGGCCACATAGGAAAAGATGGCCACAATGCTCAAGTATGACATCCATTTGAGTTTTTCCTACAAATAAGAAAAAAATAAGTCCTCTACTTTAGAGGGAACTTCAAAACACCATACACTTCAATGATCAATAATGAGTCTCCATCTAAAACTTACCAAGAGTGCCAAGGCAATGGTCATTAGAATGGTGGCTCCAGCCATTCCCAGCAGACCAATGAGATGTAGAGACCTGCGCCCGGCCCGTTCAACAACAAACAGCTACAGAAAACAAGTTGATTTAAAAAAAAATCAATCAATCAATGTGATATAGAAAATATCTATTCTTCAGTACTCACAGACACCACAGTGAAAGCAGTGTTGACCACTCCAGCTCCAATAGTAGCATAGACGGGCTGCTCAACTCCTGCTCTCTCAAAAATACGAGTGGAGTAATAGAAGACCTATGGAGGTAGAAATATTGTTATATCCAGAGGTAAACCAAAGGTTAAGCTGGTCAAATATGAAAGAAGGAATGCCAAAATAACTTACAGCGTTGATGCCGGACAGCTGTTGGGAGAGCTGCAGGACCACGGCCACCACTAGGGGCTGGCGATACCTGTGGGACCGGAACAGCTCCAAGATGGTGACTTTAGGCTCGCTCATCATCTTACGACTCTCCTCCTTCATTTCCCTTATGTCTGTGCTCACATCTGAGGTCCCTCTGAGCTTTTTCAACACTACAGAGTGCATGGAACATGAAATCAGCTTTCATTTTCTTCTATACATGAATACTGATATGTTTCAAATGACAAAACAACATTCTTTAGGCCTAAAAGGTTTAATTGAAAAGGGTGATGTTTTTTATGTGATATGGGCATTTACCCTCTATTTGGGTTGCACATTATGTTGCTAAAGTATTGATATTGCAATAGTGACGCAACTGTTATCAAAACAAACTACCAGTAATAAATATATCATAATAACACCAATGTTCAACACCTGACAGAAGTGTACTGTTCAATGAAAAAAAGCCAGATTTAAAAAAAAAATTCAAGATCCACAAGGCGAGCAATATGACTGAAATTACTACAATTACAACAATTAATCTATACATAAAAAAATTTTTATGTTTTCTAATTCATTTTAATTAGAAATTTGGGTAAATTTACCGTTCTTAGCTTTGTTCTCCTCATTCTTGTTGATCAGCAAGAACCTGGGACTTTCCGGGCACAAAGGAAGCAAGACGCACTGAATTATAGCGAAGACGAAGATGAAGCTCAGCAGAAGTGGCCACAGATCATCATTACCCATAACTGCTTCCAACCCGAACACCTAAAATAAAGATAAACATGAAAGCAAAACAAAAATGAGTTTAATCAAGATTTCATTGTTAAAATACATGAGAATATTTTAAGCAACAAACCTGTGCAATAAGGATTCCAACTACAATGCCAAGCTGATGGAGGGTACCCAGAGCACCTCGAAGTGCAGTTGGGGAAACTTCACCCACGTACATGGGCACAAAACCTGTAGAGAGTCCAGAATATAGGCCCACAACAAACCGCCCGATAATCAACATCTCCCAGGAGCTTGCCAGTTTGGAAAAGCCCATCAGAGCGGCAGAAATGAAGGACAAGACATTCACTATCAGCATTGAGTTCCTCCTGTGTAGGTCAGAGATAGGGTTAGATTTTGTAAGGAAGATGGGAATACTTCCTAATTTAATAACAGATTTACCTGCCAAAACGGTTTACAAACAGTCCAACAGAAAAGGAACCAAAAATGCCACCAACTGAGAAGATGGCCACAGCAACGGACCAGATAGCTGTGAGAGACCCTTTAGGTATGGGCTCATTATAGCGTTGTTCCCATGTAATATTGATGAATCTCTCAATAACCTAAAACACACACAAAAAAGTTTTTTTTTACATTATTGGCCAGATGGGGGCGGTGTTGTATCATGAGTCTCCCAGGAAGTTCAAGTGTTGAGTTTCATTTGAATTTGTGGTTTTGTTGACAAACACACCACACCCCTGGAGTCATGGTGATCTGTATATCATCATTGTGCCCTGCATATCGTCATGTGCTGTGCTGTCGTTAAAATGGGTGCTGTCACATGACTGAAAAATACACCTGTCCTGTCTGTGACTCTGTGTGCCCGACCCTGCGCTCAACTATCACAACTAAAGGTCTGCTCCAGTTTGGTCATGTGGAGTCCAGATAAGATGACACTTGGGTACATAGAGTTAGTACAGCTGGGGTCTGAAGTGTGGAAGGTGAAGTCAATTTAACCTCGTGTCAAGGGTTTACATTTTATAGTGGGACATTTGACATGCCCCTCAAGGACATAAAACTATTTAAGTTTACATTCACATGACTTTGTCTGGTGCTATCACAAACCTGTTCTGATAAAGAAGTGTGACACTGAACTTCCAAATACATGCCAGTTTTGCCAGCTAAGCATTTTAAGACATGCTGTTCACGTACAGATACTATAACTGTAGTATTCCTACAAAGACAAATACTGTTGCATCAGTGCATTTAAAATATGCATAACATTATTCTAATCAGAACTGCTTTTTGAAATCCTTGACAATGTAATTACATTCTAGGCATGGGGTCAAAACACTGTTGTGTAAACCAGCAACACAATCAAACAAGATGTCCATTCATGGTTTTAGAGTGGAGGTTGGGCTGCCAAGGTGAACTCAGTATTCAACTTGAACAATACAAAGAAACTTTTCAGAACAATATGAAAGGTATCTGAAAAAAAATCTTTACTTGCATAATAATCTTGTAGCTTGCCCAAAATGTAAACATCTGTAAAGGACTAGGACATTTCGCCATGATAAATGATTAACTATGTAATTTGAATGAGTTCCCAAATAAGGAAGGCATTTGCACAGTGGAACAAGCAGGCAAGCAGGAGGAGGAGGAAAAAGGGAGCCCTTGAAAGAGCATATCTAATCATAGACGCTGTAGTGCAGTGCACGGCCTTCGTCACAGCCAGCAGCATCACACAAGCTTCCATTGTAGATTCAGACGAGAGGTGCAGCGGTGAATGCGAATAAGAATTATTTTGGAAAGTTATTTAGAAGATTAGTAAGTGTTTTGTAATTTTGCTAAAGTGGTTTTGCCCACATGTGACTGTGCTAATCATTATGACCTGCAGCCATGAGGACAAAGACTAGGGGGCACACTCACTAGCTTAAGTATGTAACAGGCAACAACACACTCCCAGGTCAACTCCATACACACGTGCTGGTTCACAAGAGGACAGGATTAAAGCACATTTATGCAATATTACTGAGTGAGTATTGACTGACTGCACAACACAAAAGTCTTAAGTTAATGGTATGTAATTTATATAAAACTACTGTAAATATTGTGGCTGTTGTTTTGAGGATATGCAAAATTTTAATCTGGTCATTTACAATAAAGTCTGAAAATGGTATAAAAAGAGTTGAAAATAAAAATGGAACAAACTTGTATTGTAATCTTTTAAAGAAGGATGTAAAGTGATATTTCTGAAACCTCAAAAATGTTTTAATGAAGTAACCTATTAACAATACAAAACGCTTGAATTTACTAAAGCGTAAAATGGCCATTGAAAATACTAGGTTTCTGCTTTGATTCTAAGGTGGCTTCAAAGAGATCCAGAGAGACTGATGATAGTGTTATACAACTAAACTAAACAGTGGCTGTGTGTAAGATAAAAAGTTTAATATTGGCTGTCAGCTGTGTGGCCGAAGGGTGTGTTCAGACCAACCCTCTGCAAATTACTCAAACACAATACCAGATGGACAGCACTCAGGAAATGAATGCTGTGTTTTAGGTAACTTTGGTAATATGAGTCAATATAACAAAATCCTTTATAATACATTCTGAATTATATTTTTTCTGCATTCACTGGGAATATACAGGAGGTTCAACAGCATCCTCCCTCCTGGGCTTTTTCCCAGACTTGCAGTAAGACCTTTTTAGGACAAGAATCCCTCAGTCTAGTCCTATAATACACTGCCTTGAGTCTGCAGGCCTCAATGCAACTATTATTACACTGAAAACATTCAGTGTCTCAATAGCCTTTTAATGATGGAAAAAAGCTAAGATAGCACAAAATAAACATGGAACATTGTATGTGCTTTTTGAATTGAAAAAAAATATATATATATTGATTGACTGTAACTTACATTTTGAGGAGCATTGATGACACCAGTGTTGTAGCCAAACTGTAATGAGCCGATCACAGCTGCTCCCACACTGAGCAACAATGGGAATGTTAATTGCTGCAAAACAAGAAAAAGCACAGTGTCAATTGAGATAAAAGGCATCTTTACATTACAACAGTGTAGCATATTTACACACACCAGTTAGTTAGTTCACAATGACGTGAGGAATCTAAACTAGTGTGTAACAAAATATAAGAAAGACATTCCAGACAGAATGCACTTCTTTGCCATTGACCTGTAACTTAAAAAAAATTATACTGGATAAGATACAAATCAAAACAATGTGGTCAATGTTTACTTCAAAAGAATACACTCTTCATGGTTGGAGAATATGGTGAAAGTTCCTCTAAAAGATTAAATACAGTTTGAAGAATGTACACTGTTTACATCAGGCAGTGACTCAGCCCAAATGACTTTGTTGTTCAGTCAGAAGACCAGTGTCTGGGACCACGTCCAGCAGTCGCTCCATGTTATTCCTGAGTTCATTTGTTGGTTAATCTCAAGAGCCCAATAGATTAGGGCAGATTTTTTTCATACCATAAAGTTAATAAAGCAGGAGTGGACAGTGGACAATGTCAATGTCCATTTCCTGCTTCCCAGACAGACAGATGCCCCAGGCTGTAATGTGCAATGAATTTGTATGAGTCCTCCACCAGACTACCCTATAGGTTTATAAAACAAATTTCCCTCAGCAAAATAAGAAAGAATTATGTATGTATCTTTGTATTGTATCACATCTTTGTTCTAAAAGAAGCCTCCAGCTCTGTTGTAGTTAGGCACATCAGGTGTCTGATATTTTGGCAACAGTAGATTATCTTAAAACTATTCCATTTCATTTTCCTGTATGAAAAGGCTTTTGTGCATCAAGGTTAAAATAAATAGTGAGTCCTGTGACATTTCCTTTAATAAAATATCACCTTAAATAACATATTAAGAACGAGTGGTGTACAAAGCTTAGGTTTCATAATAACTTTAAATCCAACTGTGACCAAAATTTTTCAGACAAGAGTTTTGTTCAATCTTCCGTAAGACTACCCCAGGTTAATTTTAGAAAGCAATGTTGTAACACCAGAATTTGTGCATGATACATTTTACCAAGCTAATATTCATTTACTCAGTCAGCTCTCCTCTGACATGACGAAGAGGAAAAAGTGCTCCGCATATTTTGGACGCTTCTACTTGAGCGTCTTCACACACTGTTGGCCACACCCACTTTGAGGAACCAATGGCGTCCTCATGTGCAGGGTCATTAGGTGCATAGCAAGGCTGTTTAGTCGCAGTGCATGTATTCAGTTTTTGAGGGGGTACCATAGAGTAGCCACGTTGCAATTTGACCAAAGCTGAAGCAACTAACAAAAGCTTAACAGAAAGTATTAAGACCTTGCTTTAGAGCAGGGTAATAATAAATAAAACAACAACAACATAATTTAAGGATTTTCAATATTCATTCCCTGAAAATAAACAGGACAGAATTTTAATCAGCGCCATTTAACTAAAAATAGTAGGCCCAATGTATGCCTCCTCCAAACAAGTCTCCTCCAAACAACATGCATTTACACACAGAGGACTGGCTATAAACTTCTCTACTAAAATGACCCAACATATAACGGTAGTTGAAAATAAGAAATTACAAAATTCTATTAATTGCACAACCTGTTTCTAAGAATAAATATGATAAAAGTACTTTCCTTTAGGCCAAAACCCCACTGATGTCTTGCTGCCTCTAGGGAACTGTTGAGATGGTTGCTTCACTAGCTCTATTCTGATATGTGTAAACCCACCCTTGGCAGTGAAAAAGCAGTCTTCTTATGGAATTGAATACTGTATAACTTTACCTTTAACCTACTTACACAACGACCTCCCAAGACTGGCCTTGGGATTTGAACAGTTGAGGTCTTTTAAGGTTTCCTAACTGGGGGTAAAACGCATCCTAAATTTGATTTCAAGAATGTGTATTTTTTCAGTACTGTCACAACAAACACAGACATTATTGCCAGTTTTGTACAGTGTAAATATAAACTGCAATACAAGGCACAACTTCCTTTTTGGGAAACAATGCTGGCACACCCTCCAAAAGTATTTTACGATTATAGCCACCAATAAAGTATCAACCAGAACCTCCTCTGTCATTGTACCTGGAGCTTCTATTTTTACTAACACTACTCAGCTGGCTAGAACGAAAAAGGTGAATTTGTTGACTTTATGAATACAACAAGATATTGTTATTTTTGGAAGAGCAAGGAAAAAGTTATATTATTGGAAGATAATAAATATGGAGGGTACATAGCAAGACCTAGAAATGTATGTTACAGTAAAGTTCACTAAGATCTAGGATGTAAAATGTAATTTGTTGTATGATTCTGTAAACATACAGCAAACCCTCTCATACAACCAGTATCAATATTGGAACAAGTATATCACCCATCCTGAAAGATAAATATAAAAGTTAAAGACCAGATTTACAGTAGGTTTGTCTCATCTGGTTTTCTGTGTTCCCTGGGTGAGAAAAGTGTAAACAAGAATGACATTGCACTTTATGTAAATAGTGCTCTTTGCATGTGGATAGCCCAACATGCGAGGAGTAATGACTGGTGTGCTTATTAGGTAACCCCTGGAAACAAAACTAGTATTGTAACGCTTACATGGCAGCTCAACAAAACATATTAAATAAATAATAAATACCAAAACAAAGGTTAGGATACATGAGTACCAAAACGAACATCTAACTATCTAAACAGGAAGTGTCTGAACAGTGCTTTGACTAAGATCAATTACTTCCCTCTAAAGACTAACAAAAAAGCGACAGTAGAAATAACAATGAATTCTGACCAGGAAGGACTGTTAAAAATCTGCCAATTGGCTTAAAGGAACTACATAGACACAGCTCATAACAGAGTACTACAAATCAATAAGATGAGGCAGGCCATATTTTATTGGCATTTTAACTTGCTGAAATGATTGTTAAAAATAAATTTTTTTTTAATTGTGTTACTTTTAAAACATGCCCTTTTTGGGACTATGAGTCTGATGAAAACTTCCTTTGACCAACTGTAAATACTCTCCACTGTAAAACCCTATGACTCATTTATACCAAACTCCCTAGTCACGTAGTAGGAGTATCAAAATCAAAATGAAGAAAATACCAACGAATAGTTCATATCCTGCCACATCATTTTACTCCGAAATTACATACGTAATTGAGAGATGCCTATGCTGTACTCATCACGTAGCTAAAGCTTCATTTGCACAGTGGGGGCATACCCTGTCTACTTCCCAGCTCAACTCCAGTCCTTCTCTTTGTTTCCTTTGCCTTTCTTTAGAAGTTATGTATTGGTTTAACAACTTCAACAAGCCATTAAACTTTGTTTGGTTTGGTTATGGTTGCTATGTGAATGTTAAATCTTTGTTTTCAATATAATTCATCATCATATCTATGTATTGCATGTCAACGATGTCAAAACATGTGGCAAAATACATTTATTTAAAAAAAAAACAATGATAGAAACTCCCATCAATGCCTGAACCTACCAAACCTTTTTCTTACGTAAAAGTATAAGCCGTTTTGTACCACAATGAACCTATGTGTGCCAAAGAATTACACTTAAACCTCTCACTAGCTTGTTAGTTTCAATTCAATCCCTTCTAGATCTTTTAATCTCAACATTCACTGAAATACTTCAACATGTCTCATTATAAATTGACAGGCTGTTAAAATATAGGATCGAGGCAATGGAGCTACTCAAGCAAATAATGTAAAGTTACCTGAGTAGTGATGTTCAGTTGTGAGATGCATGGTGAGTGGAGACTGAGAGTAATTATGAAGACATAGAGCTACTTGTGTCCATCAAGCTTAAACTTTAAACTACTTTGAGTTGGCATGGTCAGGTCATTAAGAATTCAGATTTTGAACTGTGACATTAACTGTACTTATCCCTTCTACTGAAAGACATAGGAGTACTTAATACAAAAGAAAGTTTGTAATTTTGCAAAGAAACCTACTTGATGATTGAGTGACAGACTTTTTGTTTTCTGGAGGCCTACATGATGACAATTTGGGCTTAATATTGACAGATTTTCATTTGAGATAGGCTTTCAAACTTTGAAGCAGAATAGATGTCTAGGTCAACAATGTGTTTTAATAACCTACAACCAAATGAGCAGAGAGTCAAACATCCTGGTAAATACAAGATCAAGGATTCAGTGTTGTGGCTGTGTGTATTCCCAAAGTGGGACAGGAACAGGGACCCATTCCCACCACATCCAGCTGAGGGGCCATGACATAATAACAATCAACATACAAAACATAACCACAGAAATGTCAATCCACTGTTCCACTGGTTTAAGGAATAAAAAAAAACTAAAAAACTAACACAATGTTTTACTATAGTTTTGTGAAGCTTTAATGTTTAGTTACTACTCCAAATTAAGAATGAATTAAGTTTGATTTAATCAAGATCCAATAGCTTCGTCAATGATCACTGAGCTTGGACTTTGGAGAATAAAGTGGACAATGTTTCTGCTAATTCAATTAATATTAAACCACTTCTAATTTAATTTGATGAAAACGGTAAATAGAATAGAAAATCTAAACAATCGACGTAAGTAAAATGAAAGAATTAGCGCATTTAGTCAATTTATTTTGCGCAGCAGTAGCAGGCTATAGATTACTCTTTTACACTACGACTTGACTCGAAAACAGTCTTTGCTGTAGCCCTAATGAATGGTCGTGATTGTGTCTTGTAGGTCATAGATTTTCAAAAACAAACCAAAAAAAAAAGATGTAAAAGGATGCTCCGGTGGTTCTTATAGAGGCGTGCATCTCTCAGCTGCTTGTTAGTAATACGCTGTAAACGCAAACTCCAGGAAACAAAGCCGGCGACGTGACCAACTAGCATTACGGCATGCCGCCTAGACCACAAAAGGCTTGGTTAGAAGATTTTAAACCAATTTATATACTTATGTATGGTCTGTTTCATATGTAGCTGTACAACTGGTCTCTACACAAACTGTAAAAAAAACTACAATTGAGTAAGCCTCTGAGGTGTTAGTAAAGCGGTAATAACGCGATAGTTACATCAACTCCACATGGACAAGACGACCAAAGATGAGACCAGGGAAGAGGCAGGGACAACCTGGACCCAATGGCGCCTATAAAACTTGTTTTGTGTACAAAATAGTGTGTCCATTACAAAGCTAACGCCACCCGTATGAAACCGGTCAGACCGCATTTGGGATGTTTGTAGAGGTGTGAGCGAGTGTAATGTTACCTTGCCAGAGTCCATGGTAGCAGCAGAAAACACGAAACAAATCACCCTCTTCTAAATGGTAATGTGCTTTCTATTAGTTTCCTTGAAATCTTCTTAGAAGGCATCCATTTTGGCGATCTTCTTGAATAACAAAATAATAAAAAGTTTTAACAAGTTGATCTCTTGTCGCTGGGTCTCGGGCAGTTCCAAATAAAGAAATGTTGTCTCAGGATGTTGCTAGGTCTGCCCTGAAACAGATGTGTAGTCGTTAAAATCTCTTGTCTTAAACACGTCTTAACTTAAGAGTGGAGCCGAGTTGGCCTCCATATATCGTCTCAAATATGGGCTGGTCTCTTTTGAAGACCAAACCTCCTCGTGTAGACCAATAGGAGCGCTCATGGGAGCGCCCTGGTGGCTGGGGCAATGATGACATCCACTTCATTGCAACTCAGTGAGAAAATTATTTAGCGCTGAAGTCTCAGACTTCTCTAGTTTCTCAATGATTGCAACGTGTGCCTAAAAAAAGCCCTAAACTAAGGCTAAATAAGTATTTAGAATATACTGAAAATTGTAAGTACAGCAATAATATGATAACTAGGCCTAACTCGCAATAGGTCTATAAATTTAAGTTTATATGCCTACCCATGGATATATGTTATACCACAGAATGCAGAGTACATTTTGTGTAAAATGTGGAATTTGGCTATTTAAAGAGATACTTAAAGCACTACATTATTTTCACATGCAGGCACAGCAGCACTTTGGAGACTATTTTTATGATTTTGTCTTATTACAAAACACAACACAGTTCAGATAATTTACAAATACTTTAGACCGACTGTAACAAATAATGCAATAAGCCTACTGACTAAACTACCTCTGGTGATCCTAGTACAAATGACAAAACTAGAAATGTCTGATCTACCTTATTGTGAATATTACATTGTGATAATTATATTGTGAAATTTGGTTATTGATTATTTTTTTCTGTCAGACAACCTAGAAAAAAAATTATTATCCATTTGTGTTGGGTATTGTGGAAGTTGCAAGACCTTTCCAAGCAAAACATGTTATTTCTGCCCAAATAGTTTTGAATGAATTCATTGACATGGTCTTATGTAACGAACCCTGTATTTTTGTGCCGTTGCTTCCTTATTGTTTGTAACACAATTCATAAAGGCAGACTGTTACTTCGGGCTTTGTTGCTACATGTGTGGTAAAGTAAATTACCAACGTGAGTTTGAGTCTGTCAAGAATGCACCATTGGTCAGAACTTTTTTGTTCATTGCATATTTGTATGTGATCTACCACCTAGTTAAGGGACCTGTTTACGTTCTCCATAAAGTCCTGTCTGCTATGTGCCCAGTTTGTTTTAACAGAACCATGTACAAACAGCTTTTCCAAATAATGGATTCAAAACTTTGAATCAGAGTAGAGGTTTGTGTTATGATAATAATTACGAACAAGTGAACGGAAATGCTCATGTTTTCGCAGTAGAAGCTCAAACGTCAGACAGGATAATGGCTTTAATTTGGACTTTTATTTGAACTAGGTGTGTTCCTGAGGAATCCATCTGAAACAAGGCAGAGCACCAGTAAAAAAAACAAATTTGCAGTTACATAATGAAAGAATAATATAACACAACAAAGCAAATAAATAATTTTAAAAATTACACACGTGAGTTGTGGTTGTGTGGTTTACACAAATGTGGCTAATTTTCAGCTTTTTTTTCTACATTATAAACAATATGGATGTAAGTATGAACTAATGCTGTAACATCTGTAAGTATCAGGAAGTCCACCCTTAACTTCAAAGTCCTCAAGTAAGTAAATAATCAATTTAAGAAAATACAATAATGTTTTGGATTTAACCAAACCTTTGAAATGCCAGTGAAAACAATAACTTTCATGTTGCTTTCAGAGATGAAGCAGAAAGAGATCTGTGTTCAGAGAGATGAGAAATTAGGAGGTTTATGGAAGTTAGGTTTGGTCTGTATACACTTTTAGGAGGAATTCCACGTAAAGGTTTATAAATGAGACCCCAGATCAGTGAAAAAGCCACCCAGCTCAGTATAGATCTTTTTAATAAAAGAAACATTCCAATCAAAGCAATAACATCCCCATGGAGACAAGCAGGTGGGCAAATCCCTCACCAGAAAAGTTACACAAGGCACCTTTAACTTCTACTACCCATGGGTCTAAACATCCTTATTTTTGATAAAGTAGACAAAGCATTACAAAGGAATCCAGGCTGCATATCCTCCTTTGAGCCAGACATTTTTTTCCATGTGCCCCTGAAAGCGTTACAATTAAAATGATAAATCTGACCATACAATTTTTTATCTTTCAAACCAACAAATATCACAAACATATTTGAATGCTAATAGAATTTGCATTCTCTTGTCTTCCACTCTAGTGTTTGGCTGTTAACACCTGAATGGATATTTGAGCACGATTTACATGGGACCACTGGCAGCTCATGTTCTATGGGGCACAAAGCCTGCCCTGGAGTGACTGTGTGCCCTCTCGCACGTAGGCTCCCTGCTATGTTACTCACCAGTGTCCACTGCAATCCACTGTGTCACTAATACTGTCAGGTTTTATTGGGTGCCATAACTTTCCGCAGTCTTAGGTATGTCTTAAATTATGCTACAGATTATGCCAATTAGTATTACAATTCCTCTTATTTTTCAACATGATTTATTAGGACTGGATAGTTTATTTATGAAATATTTGAGAAGCTGATAAAATGCTCATTGTGGTAAAATGATCAGCTCCCATTCATTCATAATTAATATATAAACAATGCTATTTGATCCTGTGCTACTTTAATGTTGCCACTGACCTAATTTGATTGCACCTTTGTGTTCTAGAAATTCAAAGTTAAGGAACTGATGGCAATTGAAGGAAAGACGGCATCAGGAAGAAGGTCTACGTATGTCCTGTACGTAACAAGCATATTTTGATTGGTCTGGGATTTACACTAATACAAAATTACCAACATTTGTCTCCTGTTCTCTTGCAGACTGGGTTGTGGTCCCTCTCAACACAAATGCTTCAAAGGTGTTCTTTCTGTGGAGCCTGGTTGTTTACTAGAGGCTTTGGAGATCACACACAGTGGATATAGGCCCATGGAAAGAGTCTCGTGACTGTGCCTGGATCTAAAAGTGTTGCAGATGTGTTGACAGGTACTTTCTATTTGAACTAAGACAAAGACACTATCCCATCTATTGGAATTTATTGCATATTCTAAGTAGGGCATTCTTCATTTATTTTCATGTGCAAAATGCTAGCTTATGCTGTTGAATACTACAGTTGTTTTTGCTATATAGTCTAAAATTATGGGGAAATAATAATATGTAATTTATAAAACACTTCTCAAAAATAAAATGCTTCCATTGGTAATTAGATTCCGTTAAATAATGGGCTCCAGATCTAATGCTACAGTAGTAGACACAAATCAAGCATCTTTTTCTGCAGCTCATTGTACTTCTTGTGAATTTACATATTTATTTCCTATTCAACAGGACAGTCCCTCTGAGATTTGTAGTGGAGAGGCAATGAACCACTCTTATTGGCCTTGCCTTTATACCAAACTGGTATGTTACACTGAATCTCAGAAGTAGACAAGTAACAAAGCTTGACCGGTCCGTGGACCCTGTTTTCTGTTACTGATCAGAAGTTATGGTCTTGGTAGTTTCTTTGTTCTAAGTTCCTCTTGTCCTGTCGTTAAAATGTTGACTGGCCTGGGCCAAAGTCACAGTCTGTTAAAACGTAAGACGTGACCATCTTTAAAAATAGAATATATGGCTATAGGATAATAGTTATGTCCATTCCCAGACCATGGATACTGAAAAAGTTGTTTGTATAGAAACCCAAGGAAAAATAAATGACTTGTTCTGTTCCTGTTACAAATTACAGTCACAAAGTCTGATTTTCTCCAAATGCTCTGGCCCAGTGTGCGAACAATGTACAACACCAACACATCTAAAATTGGAAAGTGTCTGTGATTAATCTCAGTCCATGCATGCTTTATCAGGACTGGCTGATAGCCCACTTACTATATGTGCACAATTTCACTCAGTTCTATTCAACCTCCAATATCTTTAAACAAATTTATCTAGCCATTGTAGTGTCACCCTAAAAGCAGTATCTTCAGGGAGCACATGATTACTAAAAACTCTGAGTTTTGTATTTGTGCCCAGTAAGTGTTTTAAAGTGATGAATGTGGTATGACAGGGTGGTATCCTGACTGACCACAGATAACCCCTCTCAGGCTGACCTTTGCCCTTCGACCAAATGTAGATCTTCAAAGCTTAAATAGTTTAAATTAAAATAAAAGTTTCCCCAAAGGTCTCTTTTTTAAGGGCTCAAGTGGACTCAGTTGTCACTTTCTTTAAGATGAACTGATGGCTGTACAAATCTGTGTCTAAGATCATAGAACTATATGGTCCTCCTATGTTTTATTTGCCACCAAACAGCGCAAACAAGTAAGTAAGGTACTTTGACCTAAAATTACTCAGATATTTGGGTTTGATGTTTTCTTGCAACGTATAACATAATGGGTTAAAACAATAAACATGTTACATAACAAAAAGGGATTGGATGACTAATAAAAAAAATAACATTAAAAGCACATACTCACATACCATTAGAAGTGATTTAAAAGTGCACTTTGCAACTTGCAAAGACAGGAGACAAGGCCAAGTTACAGGTCAGATCTTTAGAGAAGCGACTCCACTCACAGTAAAATGCTTGTTTTTAAGGTTATAGATAGATCTGCTATTCGGTGGAATATTGCAAGTAAAGCAACAAATAGAGCAAGACCCTTTGCCTGAAAAATTCCTTTGTGGAAGTGGAAGTGGAATCAAAGGCACTTTACATTACGATCAAGTTCTACTACATCTCAATGAACATTATCATTTTTATATTTTATTTAATATAGTTGTTGATTAGCAGCTTAAACTAAATTATTTCCGCAATGACTTAGGCCCACTGTGACATGTTTGCAAAAATGAAGCCCTTTATATTTAGGCATCCTCACTCATCTGACTTCTCATTAGAGGCAGAAGTGAAAAACTGAGCGGATACATTTACAATTATGCCACCATACATTTAAACCCTAATTATGATGTTATTTTGTAATACTTTCTTAATCATATGCTAGCTTTTATTTTGTGTGTAAAATGTCACTGGTGAGGACCAATTAAAATAAATTTGACAAAATAAAATGCCAATTATGTTCACCATAGCAACAACCATGAGAGCCGTGTGACTGGTCAAATATGTGAAGGGTTTTAAAGAGTTGGCA